CTTTCGTGGGTAAGAACCTCACTTCTTCAGATGCAACGAAGAAGTGAGGTTCTTACCCACGAAAGCTTATGCTCCCAGTACTTCTGTTAGTCTCAAAGGTGCCACAGGACCCTCTGTTGCTTTCTAGGCCAGGGCTCCTTTCAAACAGCCCTTGCACCCAAGCAGCCTGGCGGTGTGTGACGCAGAGAGCTACAGGCTGTTCTATGGGATTCATTAACCACACACGCCCTACCGCTGACCCACGTGGCAGCCCCTCGGATTTCCAGTTCAGTTTAAGGAAGAGAAGGTTTGGGGGTAACTTGATCCCAGTCTGTAAGTACCTGCACGGGGAACAGAGATTTAATAATGGGCTCTTCAGTCTAGGAGAAAAAGTATCACACGATCCAGGGGCTATAAGTTGAAGCTTGAGAAATTCAGACTGGAAATAGGATGTACATTTTTAACCGTCATTAACCACTGGGGCAGTTTCCCAAGGGTTGTGGCGGATTTGCCGTCACTGACAATTTTAAAATCCAGACGGGCTGGTTTGCTACCAGCGCTGCTCTAGGGGCTAGTTCGTGGCAGGTCTGGATGTTCACAGTGGTTCCTTCTGGCCTTGGGATCTATTAACTTTACACCTCAAGGGCTTCATGGGCTGTTCACGTGACCCGTTGGTTTTGGGTTTTCTTTTGTTTAACATTTCTCAGGAATGTCTCCGTGTTTATTACAGTTTCTTTTAAAGGATGAAAATTGATGCAAAAATTAACGTCACCGTTTGCTGGGTAAATCTCGGGGTTAATATTGGGGGATGGGAGAACAGAAAAAAAAAGAGTAACAAATAGAAAAAAGTACAAGTGCGTCTGTCCTGGCTCCCTGCTCCAGCTAGAAAGGTGGCGGCTGTGACACAGGCTCCTTGGCAGACGCTCCCCTGTTCTTTGCAAACAACTAACTCATCTCAGACTTGCCCAACTCACTACAACACATTCAGCTTGCAGGGTATTTATCCCTGAGGGGCCTCGTGTAAGATCTCAACAGAAGATGGGCGGGATCAGCAAGGAAAGCTCCCTCTTAGGTGTCAGAAAGTGCAGGGGAAAGTGAGAACTGCCAAAAGCCAAGCAGAGCTGGGCCTTGCAAAGGGAATTAAAACCAACAGTAAAATGTTCTTTAGCCATATAAATAAAAAGAAATCAAGGAAAGCAAACGTGGGGCGGCTAAGCCCCAAGGATGGGGTGGAGATTAAAGATAGTCTAGACCTGGCCCAACACCCCCACAAATACTTTGCCTGAGTTTTTAATGAGGCGAATGAGGAGCTGAGGATTAGTAGGCAAGTGGCTAATGGAAACGAGGACATGGCAGTAGAAATTACCACACGGGAGGTGGACGTCTACCTCGAACAGCTTCATGAGACTCACTTTGGGGGGCCCAGATAATCTCCCCCCAAAAATATTAACGGACCTGGCACATGAAATTGCAAGCTCAAGAGCAAGGGATTTTTAATGAATCTGTAAACTCGGGGGTCGTGCCCTATGCCTGGAGAATTGCTAACATAGTTCCTATTTTTAAAAAAGGGAAAGAAAAAAAAGTGATCCAGGAGATTACAAGCTTGTTAGTTTGACCTGAATTGTACGCAAGGTCTTGGAACAAATTTTGAAAGAGAAAGTTGTTAAGGCCATAGAGGTAAACGGTAATTGGGACAAAATACAACATGGTAGATCGTGCCAGACCAACCAGCTCTACTTCTTTGAGACGATAACTGATTTTTTAGACAAAGGAAATGCAGTAGATCTAATCTACCTTCATTTCAATAAGGCATTTGATACAGTTCCACAGGGGTAATTATTAGTTAAATTGGAGACGATGGGGATTAATATGAGAATTGAAAGGTGGATTAGGAACTGATTTAAGGGGAGACTACAACGGGTCATACTGACAGGAGGCTGGAGGGAGGTTACTAGTGGAGTTCCTCAGGAATCAGTCTTGGGACCAACCTTATTTCATATTTTTATTACTGACCTTGGCACAAAAAGCGGGAGTGTGCTAATAAAATTTACAGATGACACAAAGTTGAGAGGTACGGGCCAATATGGAAGCAGACCAGAATGTCATACAAGAAGAC